GCTGGGCTGCAGGGCAGGACAGCCTCAGGAATCCAATAAAATGAAATAAAAAGCATTAAGCAAAGTTTGCCATAAACCAAGCAGTGGGCCTGTGCCTATAAGTGACAGTGACAACACTGTAAGGTTTGTGATTCATCCTTTAGAGAAGATATAAAGTCAGAAGTTACTAACATTTTACAGCCACTAAAAATGCTCTGCCATTGTGATTTTTCAAATACAGGCAGCTGCTGTAGTTTAGCAGTGATTATTCTAAAATAGCCAGTTATTGTTCTCTGTCTCTGCTGGGAGGATTAAATAATTCTTGCCTAAATGCTACCAAAAAATTGAGGCTGAGCTCATGCGGTTGGCATATACTGGATTTACACTGATGTAGACACAGAATTATATTCTGCCTTCTCTCAATTCCTGTTGTGTATTGTTACAGGTGTGAAGAAATGTGGAGGTACCTCATATAATGGTTGTAAAAAAGAATAAAAGAGACTCTAAAAATATAATAGACTTATCCTTAGCAGGTAGAAATTGAGTTTTATGGAACTCTATCAGATTATAATATTTGGGATTTTAAAAGAGCAAAATTCTGTTCTCTGTTACAGTGTTCTAAATCTGAATAAATCGACTCATTAAGTAAACAAAGTAAGAAAAAACATTGTTTCTGTATTATTTGCTATTAATTTATTTCATCATTATTATTATGAGCAGCTATGCCTTTAACTGGGGCAGGTTTAGTCTTTCACTACTCAGCTTTTATGTTTTATTACTCTATCAATAATGAATGTACATGAATATGTAATAACCAGCTATTTAATTAATGCATTCAACATTGTGAGACTAGTGAGGAGAAAAATCTATACTCTTTTTTAGAAAAAGAATCTCAAATATGAAGAGATTTCTATTGCAGATTCCTTTTCTTTGTTTTTTACTTAACATCATAATCAGATCAATGATTCAAAGTCCTAATTGAATTGATTTCTACTTCATATTTTTAAGAAGAAGAAAGATGGGTGTCTGGAGAAGGAAATATAAATAATAAATGTAATAAATATGTATTCTTAAAGATAGAACATTGTTTAAGATAAAATTCTGAAACGCCTATCTCTCCTATGGGAACACCAGCAAAAGGAAGGTTGGTGGTACTACAGCTCTGATATAGAGATATTTGCATTTGGTTGTTCTTAAGGATGTATGCAGTTCAGTGAGAACAGTGAGACTATTAACTTACTTAATATTAAGGGTTTTCTGATTTTACTCTTTGTCTCCACATGCTAAAATCTCCCCAGTATGTAAACAGGAACACGAGAGGGCAAGCGCCAGGAGATGTGGGTAGTTTGCTGTAAGTGTTTAGCAATGCATGGCTCCTTTCCAAGGTCAACTTCTATCTGGGTAAAAGTGTCTTGTGATTTTGGAGTGCAAAATATTCTCTCTAACACTGGATTTCTTGTGGTTTACATCTGAAAATCCAATCCAGTAGAAAAAAATGCTAATGTTATTTTCAAGTAAAATAATGCTTGTCATTATTATGGTAATACCATCTTTGTATCCCTCTCGGAGGTAAATACTCTTATTTTAGATTAAGGCTATATAGAAGGACTCCAGGAAAAGGATCATGTTGCATTCTTCTTTCTTCTGTAATTTTAGCTGTCACTCTATTTGACTAAAATACTACCTAGTGCTTTTAGATAGATCTGTGACTTAGGTCTGGTGTCAATCAAATAATATTCACAAACAATTCAGAATATTGCCAAACTTTATCAGGTGATTATTTTTTATTTGTGGCAGCAGCTCTTCCCAAGTCAAGATTATATTAATATTTTTTAATAAGTGTGGTTTTGACATTGGTCTTAAAACCTTACAGATGATGGAAAAGGGTAGAATTCCCAATAAAGAAAAAGAGAACAGAGTGGAATAGTAATACAAATTGTGTTGGTGAAAGAAATTTTCAATTCTTTAGTCCTTGCATTAGTAAGCAATTCACTAGCACACAGAGTTCTGCTGATAAAGACATAATATACATCCCTGCTTGTCACAGGAACAAGTATCTTACTGTGCAAGTCACTTTGATTTTTAAAAACATTTTTGGAAGATACTGTGCTGTCATACTTGCCCCCCTTACAAACAAGATGGAGATAAGCTGATTCAGAGTGCATAAATAATTCCAACTTGTCGTTTTGGTTTTTTGGTTTTTTGTTTTTTGCAAAGTCTACTTACAGTTCTCTTGGCTTCCATCACCACGTATAGAGCAAATTGGTTACCAGTTGCTGTTTCTCCATTGTATTTCTTCAGTGCTGCATCAACAGCTTTAAAGACATCAGGGTCATCACAGTCCGAAAACTCAAATGCAAGAGGAATAGCTTTGCTAGAGAAAAAACTACAGCAGAGTGCTAATACAATGAAGGCCTTCATAATTGGATGAAAAAGGCCCCCTGAATTAGAAGGCTCTTTAAAAACCAAATGGAAAAGGAATACCTGACAGGATTTTAGTCACCTCTTCTGTTTTTCAGGAGCAATAGCTAAGTAAACAGAACGAGTGGTTTGCTGGGGTTGGTTGGTTCTCATCATACCCTGTTTATACTGCAAATAAACTTCTGAGTTTATCTAAATAAACTTTGCTTGTTCACCAGAATGACACTAAGGTTATCCACCTGCCATCAAGATAACAGGATAAATAGCTGCAGCTGGGGACTAGTTTAGGCAAAGCAAAGGAGAAAGAAGTGACTGTAGCTTTCTGACTTCTTAACACCTAAACTGCTACTGAGAATTAATTTTACAAGGTTTAAATAAAACACCCAAGAAGGTCACAGTGGCAATGAAGGTCTGGACAACAACCCTGTAAATTTTATAGATCTGTTTAGTGTTCAGGCTGCTACAGTTCTGAGAACTATAGTACTCAGAATGTGTTTGAAAAGTCTTTGAACAGACGCATATGGTTGAATGTCGTTTAACCCTTCAATAGCACTTGATAAACTTTGTCCTTCACAGTCATATTGGAAAGTCCATCTCTTCTGCCATGTGGAGACTGCCTGGACTATGGATTAGTCAGTGATCATAGTGCTTTGTTATCATTACAGATATGTGACACCCAAGAACAAAGGATTCAACACTGTCATTTGAGTCTCGCCAAACCAGGATTAGAGCTGGCTGAGAATATCTGGTGCTTGTCTCCCGTGTTTGGCACCAAATAGCTTTGCTTTGGATTTGTGAACACCTTGGGATTGCCTTGACTCCTGTGTTCCAGCTGTGTCTTGCTGTTTTGGGTTTGTGTAGCTAGGTTTTGATAGCAGAGGATTATGGGGGTGGCTTCGGTGAGAAGCTGCTGGAAGCTTCTCCTATGTCTGACAGAGCCAACGCCAGTCAGCTCCAAGATAGATCCAGTTCTGGCCAAGACTGAGTCCATCAGTGCTGGTGGTAATGCCTCTAGGCTAACATAGTGGAGAAAGGAGAGGAAAAAAAAAAAAAGGAACTGGCAAAGAACAGGAGAGAGAAGAGTGAAAATATGTGAGAAAAACAGCTATGCAAACCCCACGGCCCATGAAGATGGTGTGGGAGGAGCTGCTGTGGGTGTGGAGCAGAGATTTTGTTGCAGCCTGTGGAGTAGACCATGATGAGGCAGCTGTGCCCCTACAGCCCCTGGAGGTCAGTGGTAGAGCAAGGATCCACCTGCAGCTCATGGAGGACCCCATACTAGAGCAGGCTGGAACCTTATAGAAGCCTGTGCTGGAGCAGGTTTGCTGGCAGGACTTGTGAGGACACCCATGCTGGACCAGTTTGTTCCTAAAGGACTTCACATCATGGAAGGAACCTGCACTGGAGCAGTTCATGAAGGACTGACTCCAATGGGAGGGATCCCTGGCTGGAGCAAGGAAAGAGTGTAAGGAGTCCTTATTCTGAGGAAAATGGAGGGCCAGAAGCAACATGAGATGAGCTGACTGCGATTCCCATTCCCATCCCCTGCACCAACTGGGGGAGAAGGTAGAGGAAAACAGGAGTAAACGTAAGCCTGGGGAGAAGGTGTTTTAAAGATTTGACTTTATTTCTCATTCTCTTACTCTGGTTTGATTGCTAATACACCAATTTCCCTAGGTCCAGTCAGTTTTGCCTGTGACGATATTTGGTGAGTGATCTCTCTGTCCTTACTTTGACCTATGAGCCTTCAGTTGTATTTTCTCTCCCCTGTCTGGCTGAGAAGGGCAGTGACAGAGCAGCTTTAGAGGGCACCTGGCACCCAGCCAAGGCCAGCTCACTACACTTGCTACAAGTTTTAATTAAAGAAAATGCGTTTTAGAAGCTGTGGATAAACTACACCAGAAATAATTTTGTTCATACATAACAGACTTCTAAAAATCTAAAAATCTTCTAAATCAGTCTTCACTCAGTCACACTGAGTCCTCATTTTGTTTCTTTTTCTTCAATGTGGCCCTTGCACTGTATTTCACTTTATGCCATTAAAAAGCTATTTGGATGATCAAATTACTAACTTTTTTGAGATTAATCCCATATTATTGCTTATACCTGTTCTGAACCAGCTTCAGTCCCTGGACAGTCTGAATGGACTCGACCTTGAAGGGGGCTGGAGTGTAAAGAGGCACCACTATTCTTTCTTGCTGCTCCTCCCAACTCAGTTTCCAGTGAGGAAGGTTCAGCAATAAAGAAAACATTTACATGAAAGAGTTATTACATGCATCTGCTTTTCTCTTCCCCTGAGAGCAATTATGAACTATTTGAGAAGGGCTGTCCTTGACTGCAATATTTCTATGTATCACCACCAGCAGCTGTAGCGATGGAAGCACCTGTGCAGGCCACCCTGCAGTGAGACAGCAAGTCATTAACAGTTCTCAGACCTCTTCTAGATAACAGTGCTAACCCAAACACCATTAGTCAATTCATGCTAGAGCTTGCTGTGTGGAATAGCTTAATTTTTAAATATAATTTCTAGTTCAATATCTAGTAGCTAATTACATGCAGTAAAAAAACAAACAAACAAAACAGGCTGAGTCAAGAAAAAATTCTTGTATTTTTTTTTCTTTAATTCTGTATAAAGCATGAATTCAGTGTCAGGGATTACTTTTTATGGAAAGCAGTCAAATTTCATCTAGGTCAGATTCCTTGGAGAAGTACATTATAATTATGAATGATGAAAAAATTGAAATATTTTAGATGGTAATTTGCACTATTAGGGAATTTTCCTTTTTGTTAGAACTGAAGGAGCATTGTATACTGGGGAGGTTTATATCTGTTCCCATTATCTGAGGGACTCAGAATTTTGAGCCTTTCAGTTACAGTGGAGCTTGAGATAGGATGAAGAAGCAGGTTGAAATACTTAATTATTATTTTCAGTGATTCTCCTTCCTAGAAATTGAATGCTTTTCCCACTTCTCCATGTGCTGTTTTCTGACTGTAGGATGGTGATTGCCCTGAAATTATCAAGCTAGGAACAGCTTTCTCTGAGGTCATATAGGAGAATTTTCTGTTACAAAGCTACGAGGAAATAAAGGCAAAATTTTTGGAAGGTCAAGCTTGGGTTTTCCAGGACATAATTTTGATTGTGTAGGGTGATCTGGAAAGCTTGGAATATCTGCTGTTTCCTTTAGTTTTGAGCCAGTGCTGGAAAAGTAAAGATTGCATTGGGATAGTTCAGGAAAGTTTGCAGTGGGAGGTGTGAGAGAATCCTGCTGATTTAGAACTGGGATGCGATAGACAGTTCCTGTCACATGGCATGGAAAATACTTTCCTGGTATGCTTGTCTTGTTGTGATGATGTCTGTGATAGTGATGCCAGTGATGAGGAGGAGGACAGGGTGGTCCATGGTGGTGAGGACGGTGGTGGTGACCTGGGCCATGAGGAGGGGGACAGGGTGGTCCATGGTGGTGAGGAGGGTGGTCATGATCTGGTCCATGATGGTGGGGAGGAGGACAGGGTGGTCCGTGGTGGTGAGGAGGGTGGTCATGATCTGGTCC